TCTGATAGAGCCAATGCCAGCTGGCTCCAAGACGAACCCGCCGCTGGCCAAGGCCAAGCCAATCAGCGCCTCTGTGATAACATATTTAAGAAAGAGAGAAACAGTTAGGGAAAGCTTTTGCAGTCAGAGAGAGGAGTGAGAAGATGTAAGAAACTCTGCAGACACCAAGGTCAGTGCAGAAAGAGGGGCAGGAGGTGCTCCAAGCGCTGGAGCAGAGATCCCCCTGCAGCCCCTGGTGAAGACCATGGTGAAGCAGGCTGTCCCCCTGCAGCCCATGGAGGATGGTGGGGGAGCAGATACCCACCTGATCCAGCATGGTGGTGCACCCAAAGGAGGCTGTGACCCCATGGGAAGCCCATGCTGGAGCAAGCTCCTGGCAGGACCTGTGGCCCCATGTACAGAGGAGCCCACGCCAGAGCAGGTTTGCTGGCAGGACTTGTGACCCCGTGGGGGACCCACACTGGAGCAGTTTGCTCCTGAAGGTCTGCACCCCATGGGAGAGACCACACTGGAGAAGTTCGTGAAGGATTGTAGCCCGTGAGAAGGACTCCATGTTGGAGCAGGGGAACGATGAGAGGAGTCCTCCCCCTGAGGATGAAGAAGCGGCAGAAACAACGTGTGATGAACTGACCGTAACCCCCATTCCCCGTCCCCCTGTGTCGCTGAGGGGGGCGGAGGTTGAAGCCGGGAGTGAAGTTGAGCCCGGGAAGATGGGAGAGGTGGGGGGAGGCGTTTTAAGACTTGGTTTTATTTCTCATTCCTCTACTCTGTTTTGCTTAGTAATAAATTAGATGAATTTCCTCTCTAAGTTCAGTCTGTTTTGCTCATGACAATAATCAGTGAGTGATCTCTCCCTGTCCTTATCTCGACTCATAAGCTTTTTATTATACTTTTTCTTCCCCTGTCTAGTGAAGGAGGCGAGTGATAGAGTGGCTCTGGTGGGAACCTGGCCCCCAGCCAGGGTCAACCCACCACACCCATACTAGCTACTATGAAGAAAATTAACTCTAACCCAGCCAAAACCAGCACACTCTGTGACTCTGTTTTAGAAATCTGCTTTACTTTGTCTATTTATTCAGTCATCAGATCATTCCAAGTCCCACACCTCAAGCGTTCTTTGAAAAATGCCTAACTTGCATTTAATATCTTAGCTTAAAAGAAGCTATATATTAATAATCCAAATGCTGTTGACCAATCATTTGTCTCCATGGAAAGCATTTGGCCCCTTCTTGTGGGTGAAAAAACAAACCAGTAGAGCTGAGTCAGCAAGGCACTTGAATTGCTTGAGGCACTTTTTTCACGTCATCAGTCAGCTGGGACACTTTTTTATCCCAGGCTGAAATGTTAAACAGGCAATATTACTAGTTAATATTTGTATTATAGCCCCAAAATATCTCTGATTAGGTCACATGCTGTATAAGTGCTCAGTGAAAGACAGTCCCTACTTTTATGTTCTAAATGGCTTATGTGGTTGAAAAGATGATTCAGTACTAGCATTCACATCCTAACTGAGCTGACTAGTGAGAAATCAGTCAGACTTATACTGCTTATAGCCATTCGCTAGCTCCTCCATACATATATGTGCAGTAGATGCTCTAGTCCATCCACATACATGTTTGTATGATTCCATGTTATTGTGTGAAAACCACAAAACAACCCTAACCCAAACAACTGGACCACTACAGAAGTGAGTTCTGGCTACAGAACTTGCATTTCATCAACGTAGTGCTTTTCCTCACTCTCTGTAAACTGCAAAGAAAACAAACCAGTAGATCAGCCATGTCTGTTCTCCTTCACTCCCAAACTCAATGCTGCCATGCAGACAGAAAAGTTGCTTTTTAAATAAATATTGCAAATGCATATTTATGACAAACTTACATCTTCCAGCTCTTTCTCCATAGCTGCTTTCTCCCTGTGGAACTCCTCTATTAACTTCAGTTCTAATTGAATTTTACCAATTTCTCCAACTTTTTTCTGAAATTTCTCTTCCAGTTCTTTTATTTGTTGGGCATAATAGTTTGCCTGCAAATCAGAAATTCTCAGTAAGAAGAAAGCAAAATGAGAGAAACCAATCATCAAATATTGTAGCATTAAACACAGAGCACACAGAACTGAGTATCTGAAATTATACCAACCCGCAGTGTTTTAAAATACACAAGGAATTCATAAGAAGAAATGCTGCAAACTCAGCAGAAGTCACCCTCCAGTGAAATAAGTCTATAAATGAACAGTAAGTTTAAAGCAATGTCCATAATATCATTGTATTGGGTTTGCAGGGTAAGGTTTTGATAGCAGGGGGCTACAGGGGTGGCTTCTGCGAGAAGCTGCTCAAAGCTCCCCCCATGTCCAACAGAGCCAACACCAGTTGGCTCCAAGACAGACCTGCTGCTGGCGCAGGGCAAGACT